ACTAAGACTGAAACTAATTCGTAAACTACACTAAATAAAGTCAGTCAGTCACAAGGACAAATAGTGTAAGTCCTTACTTGTATAAAAGGACAAAAAAAGGCAGATGTATAAAAAATAAAATTTATTAGTGGTACCAGAGGTGGGAGGAAGGGGGACAGGAAGAATAACGATGATGGAAAATTGCATTGATTAAAGATAAGGTTGCACAGCCTATTATTCTAAGTGCTGTCAATAAGTTGTACATTTGTAAAAAGTTGAACTGGCCAAAGTGTTATAGTAGATATATTTACAACAACCACAAAAAGAAGCTGGCAAAGTTGCTTATGTACAACCAGAAATCTCGTAAGATTTGATTCCTTTGTTCAGAGGGCTAGGGTAATGATTTCATAGAACATTCCCATTTATTACTGGACTAATAAAGTATTAAGTGCTTCTGATCTACCTCTTAGTTTGTTGTGGAGCATCTAGGATCTTAAAAAAAGCTTGGAAATGGCTGTCCAAGGGAAGACATCACCTCAAGCAAGAGAAGAAGGGAGGCAGGAAGAGGAGTAGAATACAGAACATAGGCTAATAGCCTCCATGAACAACTGCTTCCTTTGCCATGATAACAGAAGAACAGAATAGTGTCCAGCCACCATTACTAAACATTTTGCTCAAAAAGTGAAAATATAGAACAAGATTTTTAATTTTTATAGATTCCAGACTTTCTGGAGCTAAAGGACTAGAAATAACATCTGAAACTATTGTTGTATGATAATCTTTAAACTTAAACCAAAAAAATATTCCTGAAATACTCTTAAAGCCAAACTGTATTCAGTTTAACTAGTGAAAAATGTGTGTTGTGCTCTTTTAATAGCTATCTATATAAGGACACAGTGAAATAGGAGCTCAGAAGATTAGATAGGAACCCTGTTGTTTGTGTTGTAGTAGTTACATGCCATGAATTAAAACCACATAGCTGACCTTTCATTGAGTTTTCAGAGGCTATAAATTGCACATGAGAAGATACTCCCTCTTTCTTCAGAGGTGCAACTGGTGAGTTTGAACCACTTATCTTTGGTTTATCCGCTCACTCCTTACTAATAGGCCACCAAAGTTTGATAGGAAGCCTAGGGACCACTAAGTTCATGTTAATAAGAAAGGAACAACTCAGAAAAGGAGGATAAAAGTGGCTGCACACCTCAAAGAATGTAATCAATGTAATTGAATATATAGAAATGGTTCCATTGGTGTATGTTCTGCTGTGCATTTTCAACCATAAAATATATTTTTTCTTCATAAAAAAATACTGTACTAGGCACTAGGGTATAAAATAATGGAAGTTCACAGCCTAGTAAGAGGATTTAAAAAAAGACCAAAACTCAACAACCAAAACCATGACAACACAGTGTTTTAAGTGCTATCACAGAAGTGTGTATAGAAGAGAAAAATGTAGGAGTTAAGGGCTTAGACCTGAGTTTACATCCTGACACTTCATTTACAGGCTGTGTATTCTTCGAAACATTGCTAGCTTCTCTAAGCACCAGCTCCCTTTCTTGTAAAATGCAGATAGTGATAAGGTTTCCATGCTTCACACAATTATTGTAAGGCTCAAATTAGATCATGTATTCCTAGCACATGTTAAATTACCAATTACCTTGGCTATTGTTGTTGTTATTGTTGTTGTTGTTATTGTTGTTACTCTTGTCGAGGGCAAGGTAACATCAGAATATGTCATTCAAGGACAGAAGACATTTGAGCTAAATAGTAAAGAATTAAAAAGTTAGCCAAGTCGAGGGCTCAGAAGAAATAAATTTCATTTCTTTTTTAAAATGTATACCCTGCCAGAACCCTCCAATGATTCTAGGTTGGATGGTGAATTTAATTTTGAGGTGAGTTTGAGATGTTTGTGAGCACCAAAGGATGCTTTCACCTTTTCACTGTGACCTCACTATCATACCTAGTACAACGGAAGGAAATCAGCTGTTTCTTTTCTCTTCCGTTTTGCTGATTTGATATATGACCTCTAACAGCTGCACTGCCAACCCAAAGGCACACCATTCAAATCCATCAGCTACTTCTGCAAGAGAAAGATGGGCAGTCTCTTCCAGAGCCATTTACGACCTCTGAAATACTGCTGGAGGGTCAGCTATGAGTCAGTTCCAATTCAATGGAACAACAACATAGCAATAATAAAAGAGCATAAATTGATGAAGCCAAAATTTCCCCCAGTAAAATATGTTTTGATTGTTTTTGTTAGCTGCCATCAAGTTGAGTATGACTCATAGCAATATTGTGAACATTACATATCTGAACCCTGTCCTATCCTATGCCATCCTCATTATCTCTGGTGAAGCCATTGGTGCAGCCACTGTGTCAATCCATCTAGTTAAGGTCTTCCTCTATTTCACTGTCCCTCCACCTTCCTTCTTGCTTGGATCTACAATCAACACTCTTAGCACCAGCATTCAGAAAATAAAAAGATGAGTTGCACTGGGAATATTTGCCTTCTCGGGTCTGTCCAGAGTACTAAAGAGTGATGATGTCAGTCTAGAGACTAACGTGCACCTGACCTAAGCCATGATCTTTCAATGCATCTGAAAATTGGACAATAAATAAAGATGACACAAGAAGATTCAATGCCTTTGAGTTGTGGTGCTGGAGAAGAGTATTGAGCATACCATGGACTGCCAAGAGAACAAACAGATCTGTCCTGGAAAGGGTGAAGCCAGTTTACTCCTTAGAGGCAAGGATTAGAAACTCCATCTCATATATTTTGGGCATATCACCAGGAGGGACCAGTCCTTAGGGTCTGCAAAGGAGAGGAAGACCCTGGATGACACAGTGCCTGTGGCAATGAGGTCAAGTGTGTCAGAGATGGTGAGGTTGGCTCAGGATAAGATAAGGTTCAGAGCCATTGTTCACAGTGTTGCTACGGGTCATAGTCAACTTGATGGTACATAATAACAGCAAAACCACTATCCCAAGCACAATGTCCCTCTCCAGTGAATAGCCTCTCCTAGCAACAGCTCAAAGTATATGAAATAAAGATTCATCTTTGCCTCCAAGAAGCACTCTAATTGGACCTTTTCCAAGACATGTCTAATTGGTTTTTTGGCAGTCCATGGGATCTTCATCACTCTTCTGCAACACCACAGTTCAAAAGCATCATTTTTTCTTCTGGCATCCTTATTCATTGTCCTTGTTTTGATTGAAAAAAATGCCTTTCAGGCATCATAATCCAGAAGAAAAAAAAATTACTATAGTAAGGGAAAGAGGAGAAACAACAAACGATATCTTTTTGATGAAAAGTTTTTTGTCATCAACATGCTTGTATTCATAAACACAGAATCAGAACATACTTCGGTAAAAAAGAATGGGTCACATCCACAGGGATTGCCTGTGACATCCAAATAAGAGTCGAAGGAGCCGTTGGAATTGTCTGTTGTTGTTAGATGCCATCAAGTTGAGTACAACTCATAATGACCTTATGAACAGAAAGTCTGAACCCTGCCTATAACTATCGTCATTCCTGTAGTGTTCATAGGGTTTTCAAAGGCCTGTTATTTAAAAAGTGGATGCCAATACAATTTCCAAGTCTGTCTTACTCTGGGAGCTCTACCAAACCCTGTCCACAATGAGTAACCCTTATGGCATTTGATAAACCAGTGGAACAACTTTCAGGATAACAGCAACCACAAGTTATCACAGTACAGCAAACTGAGAGACAAGTGCTGTACCACTTGGAACAATGTTCTCCCCAAACATAAGTAACACAAAATCACTCACCATTGGACCTTGCCCATCATTACTCTGTCTTTTCACCTGGATCTTTCTCCTTTTCTTGCCTCCCCCCTCCAACAAACTGTGCAACCCTGTGATTTTGTTCCTACCTATCCTCACTCCTCCACTCCCAACCTCTGCCCCCATTGAGTTCCCATACATGAAACAGTGTGAAGACTAGTGTGAAACACAATGTATACCAAACTTTATAAAAAAAACCAATAAAAACAAACAAAAATATTACCAAAACTTAAAAAAAACAAAAACAAAAAACCCCAAAACCCCACAATTAACACCAGGCATGAAGGGCCACAGGCCCAAGGGCTCAACCAACTTATGTTTTTTTCACAACCAGCTTTTAAACACAAAGGCTGATCCACCAGGTCCTGATTGATTTAAATAAGAGGTTGCCAGCTCACAGCTGATTGTTAACTAAATCTGAATAACCAGTCAGCTTATACTCGATTGTTAATGAAATAAAAAACAGCCAAACCGTTTACACCCGACTTTCCATTAAATCATAACAACCTACCTACCCTCCAGAATCCAACTGCTTCACACAGGAGCCTCCAAACTGGGAAATTCTGTCTACAGCTCAAGAATTTAGGACAAGGAATATAATTTCAAAGTCATCACTATGTAGGTGTTAATCATCACTCAACTGTGTTTCTCAAGTACAAAAATTATTTTCTTTTGCATCCTCCTTTAAATAATAATTAACAATAGGAACTCAATAGGTTCTCACTAAATGTTAGATCCTTTCTAGTCAATCTTAAAAAAATTAACAGAGGAATGGCATCTGTAAAGTTAATAGTTTCAATTTGCAATTACTGCACACGTTTCCAAAATGAGTTCTCATAGCTTTAAGAATGATCATAGTGAAGCTATGGTCCAGCAAGACTTGAAGACCTATAGTATAGTAATTTTGGAAGCAGGAGTTTCACCACTTCCTAAACAATATGCCTCCAGAAACTCAATGAACCTTGATAAATGTCGATAGTTATAGAAAGGCTTCAGGTCTTTTGTTCATAGCATCACTATAGTATTTGACTTGAAGGTAATCAACAACAACAATATTATAGTAATAACTCTTACCAAGGAATACACTCTTCCCAGCTCATAAAATGAAATTCTCATATTTCTTGTCATTCACTGGATTTATGTTCTTATTTTCAACATTTTTTTTTCTTTTTAGAATCTTCATCTACTGATTTCCTCCTTCTCCACGCAGCTACACCATGGAAGATCTAGAGGAGCCATGGTTTGAGGATTTTGAGAACTACTCCCTGGAATATTACTTTCAGGAGGCAGACTTAGAAGAGAAAGTCCATATGGGAATTGTCCACTGGGTGTCAGTGGGGTTATATTGTTTAGCCTTTGTTCTGGGGGTCCCAGGGAATGCCACTGTCATTTGGTTCACAGGCTTCAAGTGGAAGAAGACAGTTGCCACCCTCTGGTTCCTCAATCTGGCCATCGCAGATCTCATCTTTGTTCTCTGCATGCCCCTCTACATCTCCTACGTAGCCATGAACTTCCACTGGCCTTTTGGCATCTTGCTGTGCAAGGCCAATTCCTTCA